TCCTTGCTGACCTTTCCTGCTCCTTGCTGACCCTTCCTGCTCATTTCTGACCCCTCCTGCTCCTTGCTGCCCCTTCCACTCTTCCTTGCTGACCCCTCCTGCTCCTTGCAGACCACTCCTGCTCCTTGCAGACCCTTCCTACTCCTTGCTAACCCATCCTGCTCCTTGCTGACCCATCCTGCTCCTTGCTGACCCCTCCTACTCCTGCCTGACCCCTCCTGCTCCTTGCTGCCCCTTCCTACTCCTTGCTCACCCCTCCTGCTCCTTGCTGCCCCTTCCTGCTCCTTGCTGACCCCTCCTGCCCCTTTCTGACTCTTCTAAAATATACATCCAATCTCCATAAGATATACATATTATTAATCAGCACACTTCAAATATAAACATATCCAAAATTCACCAATTCCCTTCAGTGGTTAAAAAGTTAGTTGGAAGTGCTTTTTCTGACCGAGGAGGGACAAAGCAGCCAGTTCCAACTGGTCTGGCAGAGTCCCTGGGACAACGCCCTGCTAGAGAACAATGGGGGGGAAGGGAAGAGGCACACCTTCCCATGGATTCAAAGGGGCAGAAAAAGTGTTCCAAAATCCAATAAGCCCAAACAATGTTTATAATGGGCAAAAACTCCCAGAGGCCATAGTCAGAAGATATGAGACGGGCAACAAGGCCCCTCCAAAAACCAGTGTCGAGGTCACTTTCGCCGCACTGTCCCTTCCTGCTCCTTGCTGTCCCTTCCTGCTCCTTGCTGTCCCTTCCTGCTCATTGCTGATCCTTCCTGCTCATTGCTGACCCTTTCTGCTCATTGCAGACCTTTCCTGCTCCTTGCTGCCCCTTTCTGCTCCTTGCTGACCCCTCCTGCCCCTTGCTGACCCTTTCTGCTTTTTGCTGAACATCCTCCTCCTTGCTGCCCCTTCCTAATCCTTGCTGACCCCCCTACTCCTTGCTGACCCCTCCTGCTCCTTGCTGACCCTTCTTGCTCCTTTCTGACCCCTCCTGCTCCTTGCTGACCCCACCTGCTCCTTTCTGACCCCTCCTGCTCCTTGTTGACCCATCCTGCTTCTTGCTGACCCCTCCTGCTCCTTGCTGACCCTTTCTGTTCCTTGCAGACCTTTCCTGCTCCTTGCTGACCCTTCCTGCTGCTTGCTGACCCTTTCTGCTTCTTGCTGACCCCTCCTGCTCCTTGCTGCCCCTTCCAAATCCTTGCTGACCTTTCCTGCTCCTTGCTGCCCCTCCTGCTACTTGTGACCACTCCTGCTCCTTACTGACCTTTCCTGCTTTTTGCTGACCCTTCCTGCTTCTTGCTGACCCCTCCTGTTTCTTCCTGCCCCTTTCTACTCCTTGCTGACCCCTCCTGCTCCTTGCTGCCCCTACTCCTCGCTGACCCCTCCTCCTCATTGCTGCCCCTCCTGCTTCTTTCTGATGCCTCTTGCTCCTTGATGACCTTTCCTGCTTCTTGCTGACCCTGCCTGCTACTTGCTGACCCCTCCTGCCCCTTGCTGACCCCTCCTGCCCCTTGCTGACCCCTCCTGCCTTGCAGCCCCTCCTGCCTTGCTGACCCCTCCTGCCCCTTGCTGACCCCTCCTGCCCCTTGCTGACCCCTCCTGCTCCTTGCTGACCCCTCCTGCTCCTGGCTGACCCCTCCTGCTCCTGGCTGACCTTTCCTACTTTTGGCTGACCCTTCCTGCTCCTGGCTGACCCTTCCTGCTTCTTGCTGACCCCTACTGCTCCTTGCTAACCCTTTCTACTCTTTGCTGCCCCTTCCTACCCCTTGCTGACCCTTCTAAAATATACATCCAATCTCCATAAGATATACATATTAATAATCAGCACACTTCAAATATAAACATATCCAAAATTCGACAATTCCCTTCAGTCGTTAAAAAGTTAGTTGGAGGGGACGTGGCTTGGATGTCCGAGAAGATGGCAGGCTAATCCACGAGCTCTCCGCAGGCTCACCACAAAACCTGAAACTATGCACTATTTGCACAACCAGTGTGTAATAGTGAAAATGTGTAGCTATAATATTAACTTACTCCCCAAAGTCCTTTAGGGGTGTAGAAGGTATTATGTAGGTAGTCCAGAGCCCATTAGGAATTTGGCTCTAATCACTCTTGTCTTGTATCTTTAAGGTTACATACACCCTTTGAGTCCAAATGGAATATACTCCTCAAAAACAAAGAGAGGGAGAACAGGGAAATCTCGCCCTGGTGTTGAGATCCTTAAAACAGCAATATATAAACATGCATGTAATGGTGAAGGTTGCTTCTCACCTGAATTAGAGCCTGTGACTTGGCTCTAGGTAAATAGGCATATGAGTCCTTTTGGGATGACTCCTTCCCTCTTTAACAGGATAGAAAATATACGTGTACTAAATAAAAGATAATATTTATTACATTCACTTTTAAAATAAATATGATACATACAGTATATAGGTGAGTCCAAAACGCGTTTCGCCGATTCCGTTCGGCTTTCTCAATTGGTAATTTCCATCCTGTCTAGTTCCTGGTTAAAATCCCCGCCTTCCGTCCTGATTGGTGGCAACAGATCGAACTCCAACCAATCACGGACGTCCTTGCAGGGGAGGGTCTAATAGTCCAGCTGTAATACTATATCCCTTAACGGTGACGTCATCGCGCAGGACTGAAGATTTGGAACAAAACTGTGGTCACTATCATTTATTTTAAAAGTGAATGTAATAAATATTATCTTTTATTTAGTACACGTATATTTGGTGTATCTTCTATCCTGTTAAAGAGGGAAGGAGTCATCCCAAAAGGACTCATATGCCTATTTACCTAGAGCCAAGTCACAGGATCTAATTCAGGTGAGAAGCAACCTTCACCATTACATGCATGTTTATATATTGCTGTTTTAAGGATCTCAACACCAGGGCGAGATTTCCCTGTTCTCCCTCTCTTTGTTTTTGAGGAGTATATTCCATTTGGACTCAAAGGGTGTATGTAACCTTAAAGATACAAGACAAGAGTGATTAGAGCCAAATTCCTAATGGGCTCTGGACTACCTACATAATACCTTCTACACCCCTAAAGGACTTTGGGGAGTAAGTTAATATTATAGCGCAACACATTTTCACTATTACACACTGGTTGTGCAAATAGTGCATAGTTTCACATTCTGATCACAATAGGATTGGAGAATTCCTATTTTTTGTGTGAGAGCTGCTGGATCAAAAAGAGCACTTATAATCTGTTTTAAGCGCCTGTTAAACACAGAATATTTTGTTATTGTTAATCACCACAAAACCTCACTGACCGCACAGCCTAACGCCCAAAATGGGGAAGACCCACCGCACATCATGTGCCCAACGACCCCAAACTCCTCCATGAAAAACTACCTGGTGACACAGGCAGACCTAGACCAACAGGCCTCAAGTGACTCCGTGACCTCGGGCATATCTCGCCCGCGATCACCGCAAGGGGACCAGCCACATACAATCCCCCCTACATCCACGCCAGAACTGGTCTCAATCCTGAAACAACTACCCACGAAAGCAGATCTGAGGACGGCGAACACAGAATTACGTACCTTCATAACGACAGAACTCCACACACTGCGAGAGGATATACAAGGCCTCAGCCAAAAAGTGGCGCTACTTAAAGCAGACTGTGATCACATGTCTGCCGCCCAGACGGCGAACACAGACTACAACACCACACCAAGGTATTACAGCAAATGGCATTACATATGGAGGATCTAGATAACAGGGGCAGGAGACAGAATATCCGCATAAGAGGAGTGCCTGAAGAGCTGGACAAAAAAACACCAATTCCGAACACACTAGTAGAACTATTCAACAAACTACTGGTCCGGCCACACCAGACACCCATAGGCTTTGTGCGCGCGCACCGAGCACTGAGGCCTCAGGGACCCCCGGAGGGCCCCGCTCGGGATATAATCTGTTGCTTGGAGAGCTTCCCCCTGAAGGAGGAGATCCTCCGCAAGGCCAGGGGCACAGACAAAATCCTAAAGGAAGTCGCGGAAGTCCAGCTATTCCCGGATCTCTCCCCGGCAACCCTGACATACAGGAGAGCGATGAGACCCCTTACGAGACAACTACAAGCAGCCAACATCAGGTAACGCTGGTGCTTCCCCACGGGCCTACAAGTTGCAACACCCAGCAGCCCCTTTATGGTTACAGGGGAAGAAGACGTCATGGCGGTCCAAAGGGAGCTACACCTGAGGGCATAACATGGCCAAACCCGGTAAACTTCTATATCACTGGCCCCAGGCCGCAAAGCACAGGCCCTCGACCCCAAAGGATGAGACTCCCTCGCACACAATTGATTAGGCCGGCGGGGACACCTAACTGAGGACCGCAGATCGCCCCCCACTTCAAACATAGAAGACCGAAAAGCCGACTCCTGCTACAAGACAGGAATTCTGATTATGTAGACATAAGGTGACTTGCAACACTTTTTTTTTTTCCTCTCCTCCTCACCGCCCCCGAACAATGTGGGCAATTAAGCCCTGGAACTTTATGAACTACTAAGAACCCCCTGGCACACCGCCTCGGTCTGGACTTCAGCCTGCCTCTTCATACAGCAAGTATTGACGGAGTGTGGGGTCCGGGAGGGTGGGGTACGGACTTGGGGTGAGGGGACGCAAGCTCTAAGGGGGTTACAGACTCCTCGGGATGGGGAGGGGTACCCTGGCTATTCCAATTAATGGACCCACCGGCACAGCCCTGGGGCACGCTCAGGCTAGGAATCGCCCTCCGGAGTCGGGGGAGGAAGGGGGGATGGGGGAGTATAGGAAGGGGGGGGGATGCTGCGAGAGGGGGGGGAGAGGCGGGACAGGTCAGTAACCGACCTACACAGAACGGATACATGAGGGTAACGTTGTACAATGTTTATGTTATGGCTATCAAATATGTTCAAGTTAATAATGTTATTTGGTGAGGTTGAAACACTTGCTACAATCTGGACAGATCGAGCCATAAGCCGGGGAGACGGAAGGTCCTGACTGGGTGGAACCCCGAGAGATCATAGTGGTCTGCGACGACCGATTTGTGAGCGCACTTGGTCCCCTGGGTTCTGCCCACTTGGGAATTCTTGGACTCCTTCGACTGCCCTACTGGATTGAGCGACAAGACTCAGGCGAGCGGTACCCCCTTTGCCCACAGGTGGGCGGGGGACTTACTGCCCTCCGTCGCTCATCTCCGATATCGCTACACTTAGCGATTCTTTACCGATACAGGGACTGTGAAATACAGCCCTTAACCTTCCCTCCCCCGGTTACCCCATGCTTCCCTAAACCCCCCCTAACCCAACCCTAGACTACCTTGACAGACACGACAGCATTCACACACAACCAATGGAATGATGCCACCCACATCATCAATTGCCCCGGCCCCTATCACAATTCTCTCTCTCAACGCTAGGGGTCTAAACAAGCCCGAAAAACGATCGGGAGCCATGAGGGAATTCCTAACCCATAAGGCATCCATAGTGTTTCTACAGGACACTGACAAACCAACACTATCCCGTAGGCTACTACAGCGATTTTCAGGGAGGAAAGTCCAGAGGCACAGCGATCTTCCTTCACAAACGCATCCCGTTTAAAGAGACAGGAGTGATGACTGATCCAGAAGGACGCTACACCTTCTTAAAGGGAGAGATAGCGGGCACACAATACACTTTTGCTAATATATATGTCCCAAACCGCAAGCAATATCAATTTATAGCCCGGATACTTGGCACCCTTAAAGGACCACTATAGTGCCAGGAAAACATACTCGTTTTCCTGGCACTATAGTGCCCTGAGGGTGCCCCCACCCTCAGGGTCCCCCTCCCGCCCGGCTCTGGAAGGGGAAAGGGGTAAAAACTTACCTTTTTCCAGCGCTGGGCGGAGAGCTCTCCTCCTCCTCTCCGCC